ATTTTTCTGCATTTAAAGAGATACAGTTATGTCATTATTATTAAAGGGATGAGACTTTCATTTAAAGTTATAAATGATAAAACATGTATTGATTGAAAATGTCCTTAAACTTGGATCAAGCAATATAATTAATAAAGTCTCAAAAAATCATATTCTGAATAGTTATTCTATTTTTTTTTCTAACATGTGCATAGTTTGAAAAGGACAGCTTCTGTCTTATCTATTTGTAATGAAGGGACACCGGTCTCAACCTCCAGGTCTCCTGAGTCAACCCGACAACAGACTGTACATAGAGTAGATTGTTACTTGTACTTGAATAAATTTGTGCACTAAATTTATAGTGGGTGATTTGTGCCACATGAAAACCAACAAAAAGTAACTGGGCGCCAGATGAAAACATGAAAATACAATCTACCACAAAGTGCTTTGTTTGTTTGTTGCATTTTCATGTTTTTGCCCGGTGCCCTTGATGCAAAATACAAATCAGCCTTCATAAAATTTCTTATGTTGGTCACAGGTTTGAGTTCTGGTCAAGCTCAAAGTTTTTCTCATCCTGTGACTGCATATAAGCATGAGTTCAATTTCCTATGCTCTGTAACATAAGAAATTCACGAACACAAATCGATATAGTGGGGAAATATGTTGTGGTTTAGAACTGTTTCATTATTAAAGAGAAAATGTGTAGCAGGCCGGATAGCTCAGTTGGTCTTCTGAAAGTCATGGGTTCGAGTCATGGTCAGGCAGTTTCAGTCAGGGTTTAGAAGTGGTTTTTCAATTGACACATGTTTGATTCATTTAACAGATTGCATTATTTGAAATGGACAAAGGCAGTATTGTATGATACTTTTAGATCTACAAAGGGCATTTGATACAGTTGAACACACTATACTGCACATGAAGAAGTTGTTTTTCTTCTTCTTCATGAAACTTCAAGCATCTGCCATATATAATGACATTCTTACATGGTTTAAGTCTTATCTCTGATAGTAGCTGGTTGATGTGGCTGGTACTCATTCTACTACTGCTCTGAGTACCTATGCTGTCCCCCTGATGTTCATTTTAGGTCCTCTTTTATGTCTAATATATGTCAATTACATGTCTTCAACCCTAAGCAGTAAGCTTTTATTATAATGCACAGGCACGAGTATCAGACCTTGGAAGAAAAAATATGGCCAGATTGATAAAAAAAACCTGTGTTCATCTTAAAAGTGTCAACAACCAAAATAAACTGTAAATAATGACCCCCTTTATAAAAATATACTTCAAGTTGATAGTATATTTTTAAAGGGGATCATTATTTACTATTTTTTTTTTTTGGTTTTTATAAACACAGTTTTTTTTATCAATCTGGTCATCTGGTCATATTTTTTCTTCCCAGGTCCGATACTCGTGCCTGTGATTATATGCTGATGACTCAGGAATCCTTGTGTCTCATAAAATAAATCTGAAGAAATTCTTTCTTATAGCATGAGTCTTATAAGATTGCTTAATTGACTATAAATTGTCTTTGCATCTTGGCAAGACAGAGTCTATTCTTTTTTTGGTTTAAGTTTCAACTTAAACTGGCCCTAGCCTCCAGGTCACATGTAATGGTACTGCTATAAAGTACACATCTTTTGTTAAGTATTTAGGTGCAAATCTGGATCAAATTCTTTTGGCGTCGCCCTTTGATGCTTTGCATCAATGATTTTCTTGTAAATATAATTATATAAATATAACTTTCTCATAGAAATGAGTTAAAGTAATAAAAACTAGCTATAAAATTATTTGTTTTCTTTGAGATAAAAGGTCAACGTCATACATGTATCAGAATGAAAGTACATGTAATTTAAATCAGAACATTAAATGGTAGTAATAGTCAGTGAAGATCTTTATCTTTTTAATCCTTTAACCTCCTTTGATCAATTTTTTTATTTTTATTTATCCACATTATAACATCAGTATAGAGCTGAGCCAATCTGCACATTCCTACAGTCTGACCTGGCTCTCTCTCTTTTTGTGGCTGACTGACTGCAGTGTCTATTCTAGGACGGGGGAGAAGGGGATTCACTCCTATTTTTTCAGAGGCAGGGGGTAAAATTTACATAGAGAAAGAAGGAAAAAATCAACAAAAACCAACATAGTGCGTTTGCGACCAGCATTGATCCAGACCAGCCTGCGCATCCGAGCAGTCTGATCAGGATTCATGCTGTTTGCTATCAGTTTCTCTACTTGTAAAAGATTTGGTTAGCGAACAGCATGGATCCTGATCAGACTGTGCAGATGTAATAAATTCTCCTTTTTCGATAAAAATCCCCCCTGTTTTTCAAATCCTAGAATATACACTGCAAACTTGAAAAAAATTATCTTTGTATCCCCAAAACGGACAATAGACAGTTCCAAAAATGGAACCTGGACAAGTCATTACACAAATTTGATAGGTTAAGGGTTAAAAATTATCATCACATGATATTAATGCATATTGTAAAGTTGTCTTCCAAGTTTTGGTTTTTAAAATCCCTTTTACTACTAATGGACTGTTCTGTATTGAAGCTGGACAAGTCCCTCATACAAATTCTGTAATTTAAGGAAGATTTGTCATAACACAAATATTATCTGGCCACTTAAACTTAACATCCCAGAATACAAAAAAAATAATTATTACATGTTTTTATCAAACAAACATGAAGATTTATAAATGTGTAAAATTCCCAAGCTGATGATGTTTTTGTGAACAACAACCTAGTTCATTTTGAATAATTATTTTCTTAACCATTTCCCTGCTGTGCTGTGTTGAAGATGATGACTAGCCTTTATAGTCTGACCAGGCTCTAACCAATACCATGCTAATTGTCTTAAATGGACTTGCCCATCTTTCATTTTTGACAAGGTCCCTTGTGGCTAAGGGGTTGCCTTTAATTTTTGAGGCATAAGAATTGCAGCCGCTGTTTGTCCCTTTGTGATATCATGATACTATGATAGTAAGAGGCAACTAAATGGGTTTGAATAAATGGAGTTTATGCATCTCTTAGATCCAACAGGTTAGTTGGTTTTGACCCCTGCTGTTGCTTTGTAGTTTGTTAACACCCGAGCTGAGCCAAAATCATCTTTCCTGTTTTGGCGCCATATGACCTGTTGTATGTAAGGGTTTCCTTAAAACCAAAGAATTTGGACAAAAAATGTATCATTTTTAGAGAAAGTTTCAAAATATGTACTGACTGAAGGCAAACAGTGCATAACATGATCAGCTGGCACATTTGTACATGGGTATGATTAGTTTCCACAAGAAGACCAAGCTTAAATTATCATCTTGATATCCCTAAAATTAATAATGGACTATATCCAAAAAATGGAAACTTGTCAAGTTCATTTAAGAAATTCAGTGGGATACATTCAGCTTAAAAAACCAGCTGTGCTGAAAAGTTACTGGAGACAAAAAAATGCTGATACTGTCGGATAATGGTTTGATAGTTCAGGCATTGAATATAATACATCTTACAAACTCACAGCTTGTTGAAATTTCCAATTTGAGAAGATTTTCTGCAGTTGCATGAGGTGTGTGTATTGATTTTATGGGCATTATATAATGTCTTAAAAAAAACATAGAGGCTGTGAAGCGATATTAGAATAAAAAATATTCTGTAAAATATATAAGAAAGGTTTTGTAAGAGTGCCACATAATTCATTTATGTACCGTAATATGATATGATACAAATTAACCACAGTATGACTTGTCTATTTATAAATAAAATCTGTTATTGAAAAGACCATTTTAACTTAGTGTTAATGTCTTTAACAGTTGATAATATGTAATAACAATAACTAGATGTTATATAGATAATACAATTTGGTCAAAGAATAAAAAAAATCGAACATGACTTTTTGCCAACATTTCACAAATGAAGCTGTTATTGCACTTGTTGAATAATATAAGAGTAAATTGCCACATCACATATATGTACATTAATCATGAAAATCTGTCCCAATAATTTTCCAGATATAATTGCATTAATTTTGGATAATATTACAGATCATTTCTCACAAAAAAGTAGGTCACAAGTAATGTGGTCATATGATAACTAATGCTTGCTATCAACCTGTTTTAGGTTAATGAACACTGAATATGTGGGTTTCAGTCCTTGTGGCGATATAATGACTTTTGCCAGATTATTCAGTTGACAATGTTTTGTTTTACTGGGAATAAGAGTTATTAATTTCACACATCTTTTACTGGACTGATTGCCTGTGTATTACTGAAAAACTGTATAGAAGAGAATTAGTGGTTATTATGGTATCTGCCTCTCAACCCAGGGATCATGGATTTTAGCTTCACAACGATGGGCCACAAAATGACTCAAATATGCTTTAAGCTTGGAGGTTGATTCTAATGGTCATTTATGTCTCTCACCACTGATTCAGAAATCATGTAGGATTAGTAGTCGGTCACTTGTGGAGAAATTGGTAATTACATGTTAGTTATCCAGGAAAGCCTGTTACTTGGACCTGACAGTTGAGATATTATTTGATAAACATTAAAGAATTGAAGCTTTCTTCACAATTTAGCTGAAATTGATATGTTTAACTAAGTCTAAGAGATCTACAAGGCATTATAGGAGCATGCATTATTTTATATTGTTACCATGACTGGTTTATTATAATATAAGACTGGTTTATTATAATACAAGACTTGTTTATTATAATATAAGACTGGTTTATTATAATATAAGACTGGTTTATTATAATTTAAGACTGGTTTATTATAATATTAGACTGTCATATTATAATATAAGACTGGCATATTATAATATAAGACTGGTTTATTATAATATAAGACTGGCATATTATAATTTAAAACTGGTTTATTATAATATAAGACTGTCATAATTATTATGATATAAGACTGGCATATTATAATATAAGACTGGCGTATTATAATATAAGACTATAATTTTATAATATAAGACTGGCAAATTATAATATAAGACTGGTTTATTAAATGATAATAAATTTTGTATTTACAGGTGGCAGAATCCTTGTTGTTTCACTGGAAGAAATTCCCTATTGTATTGCCACCATCCTTGACAAACTCTGGGAATGAAAAGGTAATGGAAATACAGTTATTATACTCTCTTTATTCTCTGTCATATCAAATCTTAATGATGCACGGGCCTGGATCCAGGATTTTTTTACCACAGGGGAAATTCCAGAGCATGTATGGCATTTTACATGATTTCCAAATGGAGTCATTATTCAAATTTTTGCATGATTTTCACTTGTAAATTTTTAGTTTAGTTTATATTTATGAATATTATTCTAATACATATTAATCCAAATCATGACCCCCCTGACCTTAATGGCATCCTCCTCTAATTTCATGCATGATGAATACTGGTAATTATGTATATATTAAAAACTTTTTACAATGTCATAAACTTAAAAAGTGATGAAACTTAAGAAGTTTGCTAAAACTTTATGATGTTTATTATATTGTATCACCATTATTAAGATGAAGCCAACAAATTGGATTTTTTATAATCCAATGTCTGTCCACTTCTCTCGAGTTGGGAGAACACAGAATAAAAAATTTATTATGTGACTGGAATACTTGTACATGGCTTAAGGAAACAGCAGCAAGAGTCAAGTAGTGACATTGTTATTGTAATGTAACAATATCAATCCAATTTGTCTGCCCCTTCAAACTTGAATATCATAAATCAGAACTATTATATGCCTTTAAGCTGATGCAAATATAAGTATCAAAGAATCCCAGCACTCAATTTCCATCAGATTCCTTGAGATATCATTAAGGAACATGCTTGACACATATCTAGCATCAATCATTAGAACCTCTAAGGTCAGGTTACATAACTCTGGCATTTATTTTGTTACAGTTATTTCCCTTTTTGTTTGAAGTCTAGAATAATGTTCTATTTCTGAGAAAATTATTTAATAATTAATATAATTTCAGACATTTGTATCTCTAGAAGCTCAAGATGATGACCTTACATGCCAGGTTCACAAAATCATGCCTTTGTTATTTTTAAAACCATTACCCCCTTTAATATATTGATATTAAATATCTGGGTTTTTTTTAAGAAAAATTCCTAATGGAATGTGTTCAAAATAACAGGGTTATATTGTTATATTTTTTTTCAGGGATTGATAAACTACAAAGATTTGTTTGTTGCCCCATCATTTGATGAGCTGGAACAGGTGGCTACAGATCCATTTGGTAACTTAAAGAAACTCACAGAATCTCAGCTCAATAGTGTATGGAATAAAGGGTTAGAGTTACATATATACATATTTTATCAGCAGTATTAGTCACAATTTTGTTCAGTTCCTAAGTTATAAAATGTCTCTTTATCAAGCCTATGGACATATACTTTTTTCCTGTTCAAGAATAATTGTAAGCTTGGCCGTGACATGTTCATGCTATTAGCTAAAGCCTTAGCTCTTAGAAAGAACATATTTCTGGACCTTTTAAAATATGACCTTGATCTTTGACCTTTAAGGTCAAATTTTTAAAGTTTAAGACATTTCACCATCATTTTGTTATTTGAAAACTTATCTTAAAGCTGCTTGCCTCCAGATGAGTGGAAATATTCTTTTACAAAAATCAAACATAAGAAAAATGTACTAAGATTTTAAAGAAAGTAAAAAGATTCATGATTCAAGTAATTTAATTAAATGTAATATGCAATTAATAATTTTGCTGTATTTATCACCATATTTTTACTGTGAGACTAAAGCAGTAAGGGCAGTTTTTGCATATTTTGATCTCATTTTGGTAATTTACGTGGATTGGAAGTGCCAATTGCAACGTGTAAATTACTTATTTCATTCACTTCACAATATTTCATATGTACACTTGTACTTTTAAATACATTTTCAAAATTTCCATGAAAATTAGCATGAATCTGGAGGAATACTGCTTTATACAGGATTTGTGCTTTATAAACACATTCTATTTAAATATGCATTTCAGTAATGTTTAAAAAAGAAATTTTAGCATCAGTACTACCATGTTATACAAACCAATTTTATTATGCCTCTCCTTAAAAGAGTAAAGTCACCGTTGTTTTTGCTATACATAAGCAGATTGCTTATCCGAGTTATTGTATTAATCAGATTTGCCAGTATTGATACATAATTATTACATCTGTTTTACATTGTTTTAGAGAGTTTGAAGTGCCAAGTGTAAATTTCCCAGGTCAAGTACATAAGTGGAAGTTGTCAAAATTGTTACAAACAGGCTCTGATGTTGCTCATGACACTTTACTCAATGTAAGTAAAATGACTCGATGTGACAGCAATGACTGGTGAAAGTTTGTCCTAAGGTAGTCTTACTGTAATGCTTTCCCGCCAAAAAAACTCATCGGCCAATATCGTATTAAATAAAAAAATTCCGGAACGTTACTTTTTTACAATCTTCGGTATTAGATATTTTTTATCCTTTATAGCCAGAAATTTTGTACATATCGGTAAAGGATGAGTGATTGTAAATAATCTAATGCCTAAGAGTTTGAAAAAATAATATTCCGATGGTACAATATTGGCAGATGTGAGATTATTTTGGCGCGAAAGCATTACATTAAGACTACCTTAAGTACAGGGTAACTAAATTATAGTATCCCATATTTTACTGTCACCTTTTGAACAGAAAATAGATCCCTGGCAGTCGTGTGATCATAGACTTGTGAAAGTTCTAGTTACAGTATGGAAGGCTGATAACTCATATTATACAGTCATCATCATTGTATATGTATATAAAGCGGCCTTTAGCTCTAATTTTCTGTTGGAATAACAAATCTTTGTTGTTTCAAACTAAGTATTTCAGTAATTTTATCTTGGAAAAGTGCATCTTATCACTTTAAGCCTTCTTCAAAACAGCGCCCTGAGAGCTTTTTATGACATGTCAGTGATGTTTGTATCTAAAAATAGAAGATCGGGAAACAAATCATCCGTTTACTAATTTAAATATAAAGATCAGACAGGTAGATTAGAGGTATCAAGGGGTTTCCTTATTGTTTATGTATCTTATCATTGGCAAATTTCATTTTCCACCTTAATACTTTTGATTTAGCAATTATATGAAACAATTTCTCGAAAAATAACATATTAAACCTTTAGAAAAGCTGAAAACTGCTTTAAACTTTACCAGTTTGTATCATTTACTTTCTCTGCTTTGAATTTAGATTTGTCCATTGCTATTTGTCTTTTGAAAATCATGTTTATACTTTATTAAATGTGTATTTAGGTATTGGATGTTTAAACTTTGAAATTATGACCTTTTTGATTATGCTAGTGTTTCATTTATGAAAATACAGCCATGTTAGGGGCCTGAAGGTTATCTATGGTTAATTATGTTTAAATCTTAAAATAAAAAAAATAAAAACATGAAAATCTCAGAAAAAAAAGTGTGATATTATACTGAAATTAAGTTAGATTTTATAAAACTTGTCCTCTGTCTTTCATAAATAACAAAAAGAAAAAAATGTTACATTGTTTTTCAGGATTCTGCTCTAGCATTAAGACTGTTGATTATTACAGCAAGAAATAGAATTATCTCCCCTTGTTTTAGCTTGTCTGAGTCTTTTAAAAGCTGGGGACGAGGACTTTGGAAAGTTCTAGGTATGTACATAAATGTATTGTTGAAAATTCTAGGTATGTAAATATTATGTATTGTGGAAAATTCTAGGTATGTACATAAATGTATTGTTGAAAATTATAGGTATATTCTAGGTATGTACATAAATGCATTGTCTATACAATGAGTTGTATATTGATTAAGATTTTGATTAACAGTAAATTTGTCATTTAAGGCCCATTAAGGCCCCAAAAAATGCTGTTATGTTTATTTCCCAAATGCTTCTTTATTTTGATGCCCTGTTACAGTTAACTAAAGATTATATATTGGCCATATAGCTGAACTATCTTTAAATTATTTTTGTTTTGGAAGTTAGTAGTTACAGATACTCAATATTTTGTATGGAATTCAAAATACCTTTGTCAAATTGTTTACAGTTTGCATCTTTTTATCACAAAAAATCACATTCAGTGCTACTTTCCTTCAGGTGATAACTTCTGACATACTCTAAAACCATTATTAAAAAAATGTAATGAAACACATATTTCCCCTTTTTAAAGAAGAAAAATGTATTCATTTCTGAGGCTTAATGTACCCTATAATACAATATAACAAGTGTTGATATTGTTGTATTTAGATATATTGTTTGGAATGCCATCAACAAGTGCTGGAGATATTGAACATAAGATTAGATTAGAGCATCAAAGATACTTGATAGCTGAACTTGATGTTAAGGTTAGTATGGTAGTTGTTCATTTCTTAATTTCAAATTTTGAACTTTTTTATATCAAATAGTAGAAGATTGACACCTTTTGAATACTGTTTGTGCATTATCTAAAATCTAAAATTTGTTTTCTAATTTAGATACTTCTAATACATTTATGAAAATGATGAATTTATTGGGTCAGTTTGACCACTTTTGGGTAAACTATATTTATGGTATTCAGTTTTTCAATATAATGTTTTAGGGAAGCAAATATTAATCTGTGTTTAACGACAGTATATCTTATTTATTTTGGTATCAGCAGCTGTTTCATGAGTAATTTTTGAGGTATTCACTTGTAAAATGTCAAGGTCAATGGATTTTATTCATTGAATATGTAATAGTTCATATACACTATAGGAGTTACCATATCGAAATACAAAAATTGAGGTACCAACAGTTGCCATTATTATGGTCAGTATTCAGATATTTCATGGACATTTATTTCAGCCGAGCTATCGTCAGGGATTTGGAAAGTTTTCTCAATTTGTGAGGGACACGAGTAGGTTGAGCACAAGAGAAAGGAGAAAAGTAAGTGGCCTAAATTCATAAGATGTTGTTTTTCCTTATCTTGTAAATTGCTGAAGATGGAAGATGCTTATAATGAACTCATTGGGATATTCAAAATCTGTTCCTTATATCCGGAGTTACTTGTAAGCATATAGCGAATTTGTTCCTTGTATAAGTAGTTTTTATAACCAACAGATTTACATATAACGAACTGATTGTCTACCATCGTCCTCCATTTTGAAGAGCATTTGTTTAAAAAAAATTTGTCATTTATTTCTTTTTTAGACAAAATACCCGAGAGCATTCTTTTTTGCAATTTAAAGAAATCCTTTGCTATTTCAGTTTTAGTTTCACCCATTTTCTCAATTTCTCATAAAATACATTATTTTGTTTCTGAACTCATATCTTTTGTTTTCTTTCCATGATTAAGAATAAACATGATTTCTTATTTTTTTTCCTTTTATATTGAATATCTTCTATTATATTTTAAGGGTGACATTTACTTATAAAAGATACAGATTTCTTTTCATTTCAATCAATCGTACTTTGTAGGAGCATGTGTGGTTATGTTGAAAACCGATTATAAATGATCATAATTATTTTAATCGAGCAAAACTATTTTAAGAAAAGAAATAATAGAATAAAAGGAATAACCGTTTGGTGACAAGAACTCATGCTAAAATATTCTAAGAAGAAAACTATTACGTACTGCTATAAAAATTCATTTTCACAGCTGTATTGAAATACATACAACAATAAACGGTACATTCGGTTTTAATCGGTGCCAATGAAAAAAAAATTGAAAATGCGGGATATATTTACGGATAGCCGATTTATTTTGGAGTTTGTTATAAAAGTGTAAATTTTTGTACTGTTTACTAAATTGGGACTAAGAAATGAGTTCCTTATAAGCGATAATTCCTCATAACCTTGTTCCCTATAACCGTATATTTTTATATTCAACAAAGAAGGGCAAAATTCGGGCCAAAAATAATTGTTCCTTATAACCGGAAGTTTGCTATAACCGTTTTCGCTATAAGTGAAGTGTACTGTACATAGTTGTTTTCAATGGTGGCTTGGATGTAATGCAATGATAACATAGTTGCTAGGATAAATTGAGATTGACCGAAGTATTAAGAACATGTACTTATTGATGTTGTTTTTTTTCTTCAGATTCAGAATTTACGTCCACCACCTGTTCCTTATATATACCAGACACCTAAAGGAATGGATATAGATCTTAGACTTTTTAATAAAGGTAAAATTAAGTAAGATTAAAAAAAACAACTATTAATAAAGGTAAATGTAAGATTAAAAAAAAACAATAACATTATTTATAAAGTTCTGATCACTTTGTATACAGTTATAAAGAAAGTATGTCTAGGTTTTTGTTACTTGTTTTACAACAAATAATTGCCTGTTTTTGCTGATCACTTTAAAAAATAATGGATGAAAAGCATAAGACAAATCTAGTGAACCAAATTGTAAGCAAAATATGGTGTGCTACATCAAATGCTTAAAATGGCAAACACAAGGTCTGTTAATCTAGCACTCTCCCAACAGAGGTATTCAGTGCAGATATGAGGTTGTATTGATCTAACTAATACAACTTTGATTCGAGATTATTTAATGAAATATTTGAATAATGTAGACATATTTTTGTTTCAAGAGAAGTGTTTAATTTCACCAACAAAGTTTCTAAGAATTTATTGTTTAGCTTTATAATTAATTAAAAAAGACATTTGTTTGTTATTTTATTATTTGACAGAATTGTTAACATGATTTATGTTTTTACCAAAGTCTATTTATAATTGCATAGTATATATATTTAAAAGATAAAAAAAAAATCATTTTAACTTTTTAAAAGATAACAGGTTAGGAATAGCATAGCAAGGGAAAGTATGTCTTGAGTGATAATGGGCCATCACCTTAATGTATATATATTTATCTAATATTTCAGATCTGATAAACAACTGTTTACCTGTGCTAAGCAACATTTTAGAGAGGGAAGCCAAGGGTTGGTATGTGGCCTATAGACAGAAAATGATCAGTAACCTTAAAGGTCAAGGTCTTTCAAATGAAGAAATCTCTGAGGTAAGATGATTATCAGTTTAATCATTTCTAATTTAGGCTTAGTTGTGAAGAAAGCTCAAGTTTATTTGAACTAGTATTGAGACCATTTCCTTGATCAAACCAGCACTTGTGTCATATGAGGAAACATGGTCGTGACCCTGGAAGGGCTCGAATTCATAATCACTGTTTGAGAGGCAGACATGTTAACCACTGGGCCACAGCTCCATTTGTTAGGACACTAATCCTATAGTTATGCCACTGCTCCCTATATTAGACCATTGCTCTTGTTATTATGCCACTTATTTAGGTCACTCCTCAATATGATTTAGTTTTGATGGGGCAGCAAATTACTTTTAAAAATTATTTCAAATTAATAAACTTTGTGAAACTTATTGTATATGTATGCATATACTTTTTGATGAAGACACATGAACCAGTAGTTACCTTGTGTGAAGTCAGGGGTTACTAATTTGATCCACCAATGCTTCAACTAATTTTTTTTCAGATGATTTGTTAAATCATGGTCCATTGTCCTTTAATATTGATTAAGCCATTGATGAAGATGGAAGCTTGCATTTACATCTATTGGTAATGAATAGGCATAATCAGCCTGAGCTTAACATTTTCATTTTTGCTGTGATGAGCTTTTTTTTCAGGTTACCATTTTATATATTGTATATATTGTTTCAGAGAGTAAATGAGGGTATAAAGGAGGAATATCTACAGAGGGTGTATAAAGCAATACTCAACAATGCAGAGCTTGATACTATTCAACATGGAATTGGTATAAGTTACATTATACTTTATTGCTTTAAGTTAATATGGTAATATACTTTTTCTGAGACTTATAATTAACACTTGAATAAAGGTTTTAGCTCACCTGAGCAAATGGGGAGCGGTTGTGATAACCGAATGTCATTCGTCTGTAACTTTGTTTACTGTTTAACTATTAAGGGCCATCATGACCATCTTATTCATATATTTTAAAAAAAGAGTTCTTCATTCATTATAGTTTTATATAAAGTTTGTTAATGACAGGATAAATCATTTATGTAAATTGTTTACATAATTGTCAAAGAATGATGGAGGGGGGGGGGGGCAAGTGAGGGGGGGGGGCTGGTCTGTATGGCTAAATGGTAAATGTTGCTAATTTTGAACCACTTGCCACTCGCTGCCATGACTTTGATTCCTAAATGGTGTTTGTATTCTTTTATGAGATTAAGTTATCCAGCTAGCTTACGGAAGGTTGTGGGTTGTGTTCTTGAGTCAATTTGTCCATGTGAGCATGCATGGAGAGTTGCCATACTGCTTTTACAGTGTCAGTTTAACCTAAAACTTAAACTAAAAATGAAATGAGCCGCGTCACGACAAAACCAACATAATCAGTTTGCGACTAGCATGGATCCAGACCAGCATGCGCATCAGCACAGTCTGATTAGGATCCATGCTGTTTCTATACTTGTTATAGGGTTTGTTAGCGAACAGCATTGATCCTGATCAGATTACGCGGATGCACAGGCTTGTCTTGATCCATGCTGGTCGCAAACCCATAATGTTGGTTTTGTCGTGACGCGGCTAAACTGATCTTGGAATCTTTCTTGTGAAAAAAGTTATAAGAATAACATAATTGCATTTTGTATTGATTTTGTGGGTAAAACCTGTAAATGATGTTTGATGTATATGTATAATTTGTTTTATGCTTTTAGGTTCTTTGCTAGTTTACCAAGCTCGATCTGTGATATGTATGAAGAAAGCAACTTCAAACCTTAATGTCAAAATGCAATACCATAAAACAGAGGTTAGTTCTGATAATTAGAAATATTAACAATGCCAATAATCTTGAAAACATATGATACTAAATATATGACTAAATTTCACTTAGACTATAGATAAAATTAGACTTCAATAACAAAACAGCATGACTTGTATTGTTATTTTTTCACAAATATGGTATTCTAAGCATTTCTTGAACATTGTATTCTTGGAACAATTTAAATTTTGAAACTACCAAAATGTGATGTAAGGGCAAGATTAATCTTATTTTTAAGGAAATATGTGTTTGATAATGTTATGTTTTGTTTTTTGTTAAGCCTATTAGTCCCCTACCGGTTTACCGGAGGGGACTTTAGGTTTACCCTCCGTCCGTCTGTCCGTCCGTCCGTCAGTCAGTCCGTCCGTCCGTCTGTCCGTCCGTCAGTCCGTCCGTCCACAAAACTGGATCCCGCGATAACGCAAAAAGTACTGAAAATATTTTAATGAAACTTGATATATGGATAGATGGCGGAATGGAGATTATGCACGTCTTTTTCTTTTCTTCCTATGTTGAAAATTCTGGTTGCTATGGCTACAAATAGACTGAAAATATGGCAAATTTTACACATAACCTGGATCCCGCGATACCGCAAAAAGTACTGAAAATATTTTTATGAAACTTGATATATGGATAGATGGCGGTATGGAGATTATGCACGTCTTTTTCTTTTCTTCCTATGTTGAAAATTCTGGTTGCTATGGCAACAAATAGACTGAAAATATGGCAAATTTTACACATAACCTGGATCCCGCGATAACGCAAAAAGTACTGAAAATATTTTTATGAAACTTGATATATGGATAGATGGCAGTATGGAGATCATGCACGTTCCGTCCGTCTGTCCGTCCGTCCGTCAGTCAGTCCGTCCGTCCGTCTGTCCGTCCGTCAGTCCGTCCGTCCACAAAACTGGATCCCGCGATAACGCAAAAAGTACTGAAAATATTTTAATGAAACTTGATATATGGATAGATGGCGGAATGGAGATTATGCACGTCTTTTTCTTTTCTTCCTATGTTGAAAATTCTGGTTGCTATGGCTACAAATAGACTGAAAATATGGCAAATTTTACACATAACCTGGATCCCGCGATACCGCAAAAAGTACTGAAAATATTTTTATGAAACTTGATATATGGATAGATGGCGGTATGGAGATTATGCACGTCTTTTTCTTTTCTTCCTATGTTGAAAATTCTGGTTGCTATGGCAACAAATAGACTGAAAATATGGCAAATTTTACACATAACCTGGATCCCGCGATAACGCAAAAAGTACTGAAAATATTTTTATGAAACTTGATATATGGATAGATGGCAGTATGGAGATCATGCACGTCTTTTTCTTTACTTCCTATGTTGAAAATTCTGGTTGCTATGGCAACAAATAGACTGAAAATATGGCAAATTTTACACATAACCTGGATCCAGTGATAACACAAAAAGTACTGAAAATATGTTTATGAAACTTGACATATGGGTAGATGGCAGTATGGAAATTATGCACATCCTTTTTTATCTTCCTATGTTGAAAATTCTGGTTGCTATGGCAACAAATAGACTGAATTTCAAGATTTCTGATTCTAGTTTTTTCGCTATAAGTTCTTTATTTCTTAAGGTATTTTCTTCAAACTTTAAATATAAGTTGCTTGTCATCAACCACATCATATGTGACAAGGTTTACAACTCTAGCACAAAATTTATCAGAATTACCTCCCTTGAACTTAAAATTTGTGAAAAACCATTGTTTTTTTTTAATAACTTCTTTTTCTGAATGTATCTACTTCAAACTTCATATAAATGTTTCTTATTGTCACTCAACATTTGTGAGTGTTCAATACTCTAGCAAGACTATTTCCAGAATTATGCCCCTTTTGAACTTAGACTTTTTTTTTGAGAAATTGGTAATTTTTACTCCAACTTCTTCAATCATGAAAGGATTTTAAAAATGTTATATTTTGATAACAGGGATGTTTAAAAAATAACTTTAGAGTGTCCTTCAGTCCGTCTGTCTGTACATAAAAACTGTTTCCTGTGATCACTTTTAAAGAACTTTTTTAACAAATTTACATAAAATAGGAACCTAGGTGAATGGCCAATGGCCCTTCAGAATGTTGCTTGGGCCCTTACCGGTAGGGGACTTATGGATTGCTTGCAATACTATGATAATTGCTTGTTTATATAAGATTTGACTTTTTTTTTTATAATCTCACTTTTATTAGTTGTTGGCACACCTTAAGAGAAAATACACTGTGAAGTCCCGTATTGAACCTTGGGTGGATGAACAATTGGTAGCTTTTGAGGTGAGTGGTTATAATCAACTACTGTAAACTATTATAAATATGGCTTTTAATGAAATACTGCTTATAACTTGCTGTTGGCTCGGTCCCAACTCATGTTTTCAAATTGGTTGTCTCTCAGATATAACAATATCTTGATATAACGATATTAAGTCGGCGGTCCTATGAATATTTTTATAAGCAGAGTTTATTGTAGTATCATGCATGTGATAAACTTGTATAAGCTAATTATAAACTGTAGGCTGTAAAGTTAGATTCTAACACTGTATTTTTTGTTCAGTTGCTCTCAGAAAGGCTTGGATATCCAGTTAGAAATGTAGAGCTTATTCAAAAATATCTTGTTCATAAATTGACAAATGGTGTCATTAATTTACGAAAAATGCAAAATGTTAAACAAAAAGTTTTTAATTTTGAAGGAAAGTTTTGGAGTTTTAAGCTATTTTGTTAATTTAGTGCACCAGAACAATGTGGTCATACCAAAACATTATATTGATCTACTCATGTATGTAGTCTATTTTTCTTCCAGTCTTTTTATCCCCACTTTTCCTTTCAATAGCACCATTTACAGATTTTCCTACAGAAGTCAGCCATTTGTTATGATTCCTCGATGATCTCTTCGGTTTAAAATTTTAGGATTTTTACTTTCATAACTCTAGTCGCTATAACAACAGAGGAGAAAATCCTTTGTAATGTTCTTTTTGGAAACAGATAGCCCTTATTTAAAAAGATACTTTGATTTCTGCATGAACAAAGCAATTAGTGTAATTATTATCATCTTTTTGAAGTTCTTATGAATTAATGAAATACACTTTAAAAGTTAATGTGAAGATGCAAAGATGCAATTTCCTGCAGTTTAATGAAAGACTCTACAACTAACTTTAATTTTCTTGAATTAATTATTTTGTATATAATAGCAAACAGTTGACATATATCAATTAATAAATGAAATCAGAATTCCTGAATTTGTTATGTAGTATATATAAGGATAAATACTTACCTTATTTATAGCGTGAGTTCATAGAACAAAACCTGTGGTCAGATGAGGCCATCAAACTGTGTGATAATGAAGATTTACAACAAACTGTATACTTCCTGCGGAGGGACCTTAACTTTATCAAAGAGGTAAGTCGTCCATCAATTGAAGTTGAAGTTTCTAGGGGCGTGGGAGGGGTGGTGACAAAACAAAAACCCTCATACCAAAAAAGTTTTACAACTGGCAATTGGTGACTTTATCAACTAAAAATATTTTTTTGTTGGTAATTTTCATATTTCTTTATTGTAACCAATATACACCCAAACTTAATAATTATCTTTAGAATAAAAACATAAATAAATATCAATTACTGCTTTAGTTATACTGTAATGCAATTCTAAGTGTCTTATATGCACAACAAGTGAACGTTTATGGTTCACGAAATTAATATTACATAAATGAAGTGTTTATTTTAAAACTGGCTCTAATAGTCCAAGTCTTACAAAAGCATATAAAAGACTCTGAGCATTTGTTGTATTCAGACTGTAAGATATATTTTTGCTTAAGTCAATATATTCTTTAGTCAATATATTCTAGCCCATCAGAAACTAGCTTTTGCTTTCTTGAGCAAAAAAAACATTACACTTATGATGTAATCGGCTGGTATTGGTTGGTTCCAGGAACAGATTCGAGAGAGTGTCTCTAAGCTTATAGCTTGTTGAATTCTATATTAACTAATAATAGATTCATTCTTCTTTCAACGATTCATGTGTTGTATTAAACTTTTGTATCATACATTATTTCTTCCATAGAGAGAAGCCATTTTGTTAAATGAGTTGAGTCAAGTACGAATTCCAAACAGAGTTTTTACGTTTTCTGTACGAATATGGTTCCCTAAAAACTGGGTAACAGTTAAGTGGGTTTCCGATGATGAGGAAATGGTTGTTCCCACGGTGATAGCAGAACAGGGGAGAGAAGTAGAATACCACTTATCTCGAGTAAGTTATTTTAAGTTATCTTTCCTTTGAAATACTTTTTGATTAACAATGATTATTTTAAATTGAATTGTTAGGTCTGTGGAGCTACTGTTAATTAGTTTGAATCCTGCGTGAAGTTGGTCTATCTGTGATAATACTGTGATTGGCAACAATATGCCTAATGCCATCTGCTTTTGTCTTCAGTAATTTAACTGGAGGAAAAAGTTAATTTCTTGTGAAAAATAAAGTAAATAATGAATTTGAATCTACAAACACTTGTCAGGCAATGACCCACTTGTATTTGACTGAAATATCAAATGATGAAGCTTGATAAAGCGAAACATGTTTTGATGATTTTTGTTGGTTTGTGAATTACTATCATAACTGAAATACTAATAAACTGGCAGCAAAACAATAAAAACAAACAAATATTCCGCTATGTTGAAGTAACCATTTAACATGGTAAAAAATTAATTAAAATTATGGGCAGAACCTCAGTTGTAAGTCTATACAAGATTTCATGCATAATTTTAGGGTGGTCAGAGGTATTATGTAAACAAGGATACGAAGCACAAGACCAGCACACGTTACCCTATGTGGAGATGGTATAACTATGTACAGAGAACATGGGCGTGGACCTGGAACTCTTTCTTCATGTTTGGGGTTTGTAACTTTATTTAACAGAATTTGTAACTTTGTTTCCCCAAAATGCTTTAGTGTTTCAAATTATTTTTTGTCCAATTGGATTGCAGTATTTCAAATGAATCGTAACACATTTACTTTGGTAAATTGGCAAACTGTTAATCAGTGTAGTAAAACGACTGTGTGTAAAAATAACCGGTTAAAATTTACTATTTTAATACACACAGCCCGGCGACCAATTTAATTTTGTAAATACGTACTAATAAACTTTAACCTATGCTAAGTGATCTTACCCAATACATCTAAATTGTTAACCCTGCTGAATTATATCGTGAAAATGAACTGATTAGGTCAATAATTGATGAAAACCTATTCTATCTCTGTTACTTTATTAATACAGAAAGACAAAGGATTTCAGGACGTTGTAAATGATAAATAGTTGTTTGAGAATAACTTTTTATCTTTTAAATGGTTCCAGGCTTGTTTAGAGCTGTGAATGGCTGACAGTAATTTGTTTGTTTGTATCTGATGTTTTAGGTGATAATTCCCTGGTGCAGTCCCCTCAGTATACGTGCTCTGTTTGCTTGTAATGAATTCACACCAAGCAAAGAAATCTCTCAACATGATGTAAGTATTGAACTAAAAAACTGGAATATAAGCTAATTTATTTGAAGCTCGATTTTTCTAAAGGAAAATTTTGAACTAGTGCTACAGTCAGGTTGTCATTGCCGTTGCTTTCCAGACACTGTCTTCTTACTTGGACACAAAAACCCTTGGACAAAACCTTGAAATAGACCAGACTGAATGACCTTGACTCGTAAATAACCTTGACCTTTAGAAATAAGAAAATGCTGAGCATGGCCTTCACAAGGCAGTACCTCTTGTAATGGTGAGACATCAGATGATATGAGGCTTGTTAAGTAATGGACAGTAAATAATTGAAGTCCAAATAAGTGCACTGTAACTGTACTTATTGCCAAAATGCAACAGATGAAAAAGATGGTTCAGGTAGTTGGCCAATGAGTAATATTTTGGATATTATAAAAGTACATTAAAATTTAAAAGCTTTTGATAAATAAAAATAAAAGCATTTCTGAGGCATAATGGACCTTCATTGGATATATATTGACTATTTTGTAACTACTTGATGGTTACTCCTAGAGTATAATGAGGAATTCATGTAACACATTATAAAGATTCAAAAGTGCAATATGAGTGAATCATAACCATTTGCCCCCAGAGGCCAATTTTTGAAATCTGGTTAAAAGGGTAAATTTATATTTAACTCTGACTGATTATGAGCAAGTGATTTTGTTCAAGGCACATTATGCATAAGAAACAAAAAAAATTTTACTTCTTTAGAAAGAGCAGACATTTTATAATATTTAAATAATAGTTTTAGATAATAGTAGTTGCTTGTTACCTGAAGAAAGTAACCGATAGATGTGAAGTAGCAAAATGTAAACAAAGTAGTATTTTGACTTCTATACAAAACACTTATTCACTGTAACTGTACTTTTTGTCAAAATGCAACAGATGAAAAAGATGGTTCAGGTAGTTGGCCAATGAGTAAAATTTTGGATATTATAAAAGTACATTAAAATTTAAAAGCTTTTGATAAATAAAAATAAAAGCATTTCTGAGGCATAATGGACCTTCAATTGGATATATAATTGATGTTTTTGTCACTATTGATGGTTACATCTCTAGAGTATAATTGAGGATTCATGTAACACCATTATAAAAATTCAAAATGCAAATATGAGTCGCGTCACGACAAAACCAACATTTGCGCCATTTGCTGGTTTGCGACCAGCCTGGATCCAAACCAGCCTGCGCATCTGCTCATTCTGATCAGGATCCATGCTGTTCGCTATCAGTTTCTCTACTTGTTATAGAGTATGTAAGCAAACAGCATGGATCCTGATCAGACTACCCGGATGTGCAGGCTGGTCTGGATACATGCTTGGATCCTGATCAGACTGCGCGGATGTGCAGGCTGGTCTGTATACATGCTGGTCGCAAACGCTTTATGTTGGTTTTGTCGTGATGCAGCTCTTATATATTTCACACCAGGGAAAGTTGTATCCAGACATGAACTCTACCACACACACGCTGGTATCCAGGCTGTCAGCATTGTGGGAAAGTGTTCATAAATCAAGAAAAACATTTGAAACTACTCCTGACAGAGGTAGGTACAAAATCTTGCATCTAAAATGTATTTGGTATGCCCATTTAAAAGTACTTCATGAAATATAAGCTGGTCCACTTGGTTTCCTTGTAATTAGTTGTACCCTTGATTGATTCAGCATGTTTAATAGAGAGATCATGTTGGATCAAAACTTGGTCACATGTGGAAAAATTGGTTACTACGGGTCAGTTATCCAGGAAAGTCAGGTTAGGCAGACCCACTGGTGAGACATGACCAAAAATGTATTGAACTGGCATTAAAACCAGACAAACAATTATGATTCTGATCCTTAAACATGCAATTTCAGAGAATTGTACAAAATGAAAGTTGAAAATTTAACAATGTTATATTTACAGTTTACAATAAATTTAATATTGTGATGTATAATTAAATGTGTACTCAAATGTATATATAAATGTATAATAGAGCAATAGAAAATGAATAAATATGGTTGACAATTAACTGTATTTCAAAGGGTGAGAAATACGTGCAGCTTTAGCAAAACTCATGGAAAACTGTTCCACAGTTATATGGCATGAATGACCCGGCCGCCTACACATTTTCTCCTCAATTGGTGAACAAATCTATAGTGTGACATGTACCATAATGTTTATATTAGCAATTAGGGTAAAGGTCATAATGACTGTTAACCAAAATGTTGTTTATTGAGAATGTAAAATAAAAGTTACATCAGAAGTGAAGAGGATAATAAGTTTTCTTTAATGATATGCAATAAAGGTTGTATTGACAATTTACTGTACAGTAAATTTGCAAGGACAATATGCAATAAAGATTATATTATTTATATTGACAATGTACATTAAAAGACATATAGTAAGGTAGTAAGGGGAGCGCCAGCCTAGTGGTTAAGATGTCTGCCTCTCAACCCAGGGATCATGGGTTCGAGCCCAAATCGGGTCATGACCATGTTCCGTCATATGACATCAGTACTGGTTGGTTCTGGGAAGTAGACTTGAAAGTGATTAATTTAAGTTGCAAGAACTTATTTTGCAATCAAGCTTAAATAAATATATTTAAACAAAGGATATATTTATTTCAGGTTTTCTGGGGAAGAGTTTCACACGTCATTTGAACAGAATTTGGAACTATGTATGTAAAGGGTTTTTCGGAAGTTTGTTGGTAGTGGTGACATTTCCTGTACTGTGTATAGTTACAACAATATTATCATTGACAATGGCCATAACTGCTCCAGTCTGGTATATTAATCTTTTATACATCATTACTTTATCCTTCTCACATTTTTAGCTCGACTATTCGGAAAATAGGGAGAGATATTCTACTCTCCCCTGCATAGGCGTCACCGTCACACTTTGGTTTTGTTTTTGTGTGCAAATTAGTATCTCCAAAACTATTAAAGGTGATGGGTTGGAACTGCATTCACTGTTTCTCTGTGATTATCTTACATGATAGGCACAGGTCCCATAACTCTGAGCTACCGTTTGAACAGAGTTATGCCCCTTAGTTTACTGTCAAGCATTGAGAATAGGCGAGTGTGCTATTTTACTAAGAGCTTTTGTTATTAATTGTCCTGAACTGTTGAAGTTTTAGGGAGAAAAATGCATACAGATGAACCAGTATATGATATATAAGCATACAATTTGAAGATAAATACTTTCTTATAAGGGAAGTTCATAACATTTCCTAAGGTGTTTTTTGTTAGGTATACAGCATAAAGTCACAGAGAGATAAAATATATAATTATTTCTATTCCAGAAATTGTAATATTTGAAAAAGGCTTTTAGACTGAGACATTAATTACAAGTGAAATAGGGAGTCTTATATAAATGCCAGCAGCAATAACAAGTTGACGGTACTACTGGTTTAGAGACAAGACAGTCTGCACTTTATATCTGTGACTATGTTCTCAGTTTCTAGGATTTTAATGTTGAAATTGCTTAGAATTACAGTGAACTGTACCAGGTTAAAATAAGTAAAAACATGGTATATGTCAAGTGGTTTTATTGAAAATTTTGTAGGTCTCTAATTATTTATATATGTTTCTTTTTGTGTCAGTGGTTCTATTGAACATAATGTAGATCTATACCTTTGATTTTTGTTTGTCAGGGTTCCAGTAGCCTCACTGCTGTTTCAAGTGTTCTGTATCCTTATTTATGACTTTGATGCACCTTGTAAGTTTACCCTACTTTCCTTTTTCCAGTGCTGTATATACGCATCATTTTATTGTTCTAACAAATTGATTTTACAAAAATTGAATAGAATTTAAACTGAAATATGATCAAATTTTCATCAAAATTTGTTTTTGTAAAATGTGTATAAATATTTCTGCAGCAATAACAAAACTTCAAACTAAGATCTCAGATATTTGATTGATCAGAAATTGAGACATTGACCATTTAAAAATCTGAGATCTGCGACAAAACTCATAGAAAAAATTATAACCTTGGGGCCAGGCCTCAAGAATATAAGAGATTTTCTGAGTTCTGTCTAAAATCTCATGATTTTTCATTGGTCAGTGAACATTCTGTGGCAGTTTCTGACCAATCATATGCCTGAGATCATAGTTTGAGCTAGTAGAATTTCTTTATAACCTCGGACCCTGGCCTCAAGAATATAAAACATTTTCTGAGCTCTGTCTTGAACCTTTTCCATTGTTGAGTATACATATTCTTGCTGGTATTAACCAATCCGTTTCCTGATAATCTGAGGTTGTGATTAGAACATTTCTTCATAACGGTTAGGGGACTTGTATGCTATGTGCAGTATTACTAATTTGTTGTTTCTGTGTTTTAGATGACCAGAATCGGTTCAGTATATTATTGGAGGCAATTATCTGGAGATTTCTGATACAGGGTACTATACAACCTGTGGCAGCTTCTTTGACTGGCTTTGTAGTGTGCCCACTGGGCTCTTTAGCAATCATGATCTGTAAGTTTGTTTTATTAATATTATATTTTATTTTATTTATTTATTTGTTTGTTTGTTTGTTTGTTTGTTTGTTTGTTTTCTCTTGAGAAGAGATAGAAAGATAATTGATTTTCCTGTTTTAAAAGCTAAATTTCACTGTCAGTAATTGTAAGAACATTTGTCTGTATCCTGATAGATATACTAAAATACCTGAATTGAAAATATGATAAAAGTTAATTTCAGATAAAGCAACAGTCATTGACTGTTTTATCAGTGAACATGCTATTCTGTTTTCTTATAAAACTTATGTGAGTTGACTACTAAGATTGTTTAGGTTAAAACTCTCTCCAGATATTACAATAAGAATATGAAAACAACTGGATTGTACAGATTTTGAAATATGTAAAGTATATGATACAAATGACCTTAACCTCTAGCCTGCTGGTAGTTATGTGACCAATACAGACAAAGATTGTGTCAAATCCATGCTGTCTGATCATGGTCTGCACTGTACGCTATATAATCTGAACATAATTTGAATTTTCCCTAAAAGTGATGAATGACTTTGTGTGTATTGAAATATGGACAGGTCCATTTAAAATATTTAGCAGGGTATGTGTAAAATTTATGGTGTTATAAAATTTCCTTATGTCAAAATAATACTTTTTAGCTCGACTTTTCTATGAAAAGGGGAGCTATCCTACTCGCCCCGGCGTCGGCGTCGGCGTTGGCGTCACACCTTGGTTAAGTTTTTCGTACCACCCCACTTTATTTCAGAAGTATTACAAGTATGGCTTTGAAACTTACCATACTTGTTCACCATCATAACCTCCATCTACAGACAAGAGTACATAACTCTGTCAAGGTTTTTGACAGAATTATGGCCCTTTTTTGACTTAGAAAGTGTATTGAGCTTGGTTAAGTTTTTTGTACCACCTCACTTTATTTCAAAACCATTGGAGGTATTGCTTTGAAACTGACCATACTTGTTTACCATCACGACCTTCATCAACAGACAAGAGGACATAACTCTGTCAAGGTTTTTGACAGAATTATGCCCCTTTTTGACTTAGAAAATACATTGAATATGGGTAAAATCCACTTATTGCCTTAACCCTTTGAGATATTGCTTTGAAACTTTTAATGCTATTTCACATCATTACCCCCATCTGTACGCAAGAGAAGGTAACTCTGTCAAGGATTTGTTTTAAAAATTAAGGCCTTTTATCGACTTAGAATCTTGGTTAAGTTTTTAGTACCAGTCCACTTTTTGACTGAACTGTTTGAGATATTAATTTGAAAGTTGGAATACTTGTTTACAATCATGATTCCCAAACATGTCCAGGAGAAGGTAATTCTGTCAAAGATTTTATTTGAATTATGGCCCTTAACTGTCAATGTTTTGTATTATAGGCAAGCACTAAAAAACTTAAAAAATCTAAAAAAATTCATTCCTATCCACTTGTTCACTTTACCATAAATTATGTCATAATAAAATAATTCTTCACTAAATATCTTAATGCTCATGGCCATTGTTCACTTTAAAAATACAGAGATTCTTGTATTGCCTTTTACTGCAAAAACTTTTTTTATTGGCAAGCAATAAAAAAGTCGAGCGCGCTGTCTTACGGACAGCTCTTGTTTACTAAACTCGTAAAAGTCCATGTTCTTGCATTTGTATCAGCTATCAAACAAAAAAAGGAATCCAAAGGAATTTCTTTTTTATTTGTTTTATCATTCTATAGTTTATTTTGATGACCAATTTTAGATGGAGTTTTGCGTCGTGGATTAAGAGGAATATGGGATACAGCTATGTATGGGATAGTGATCAAGAGTCGAGCTAGGGTACCAGCCAGTGATGGTTTTGTTGCTCGTAGAATTGCAGGACCTGGCCTTGCTTCAAATTATTTCCTACAGGTAATAATATATGAATGCCAGTTAGAGAAAACAACTCTTAACATGATTTAACAAATGATGTCAAAAGACGTTAGTGTTGTCTTTTACGTTAAAATTAAAAAGGGAATTACTTTTGAAATATTAAAGAGAAATATGAATAAGTAACAATCAGAAAATTTAAGAAGATTTTATTTATTTCAAAAGCAATAGAAATGGATATTTTTAAGAATCAAATATGTCAATTTATAAAAATAGTAAATGTCATTGTCAATTTATAAAAATAGTAAATGACGTTATTGTTGTTTTCTCATTGCGGCAGTCAATTATAATAAATGTATACAAAGTTTGAAGAAAATTTATAATGACTGATATAATGCATGGAGGGATACCTCATGTTTAACTTCCTCTAGTAAAACTAGAAAGTGGTCTATATAAACTTTTTAATGTCAATGTTGCCGTATACCTAACTAAAAACGAAAAATCCAAGCTAAAACAAAAAATGGGGAAAAAAGAAAAAAAAGCAACAAAAAATCCAAAATAACAACTTTATTTGTCCTTTAAAAACATAAGTTTTAAACTTATTACATGTATGTGTTATAGTTTTGTCAGTTTTGCATTTTATGAATAAGCACAAGATTTACTTATGTTTATGCAAGTTTGTTACACTTAAATATTTGGAAATATGTCTGAGTACATAATTATGTGGAACTGAAATAAACAAAATAAAAGCATGGTTTTCATTCTTCACGACATAATTAGTCACCATAGTGCAATAACAGGTCAACTCGTATATAATTAGTTACTGCACTAAGACGACAAATTTATTTGGATGCTTAACAGTGACATTTTGATGGTAGCTTTGCTTCCTTATAATTATGTCAGATTGCAAGCAGAAATATCATAAACTATTAAACTAAGACCATAATCAGTGGGCACTTCTTTCCTGTGGTGTCTGATCAAAGTCTGCACTGTTAGCTATCTGGTCAGTACATATTTTAAAACTTTCATTAAATTGGTGCATAATATTGTCCAGATTGAAAGATGTGCAAGTCGATTTCAAATATTTAAGCATGTTAAGCATTGATATCAACATAACGAATATGTAGATATAGAATTATTCTTATAAAGGGAAGTAAATCATGGTGTACTATTTCCAGATTCAACCAGAGCAAGCCCTCGCAGCTGTAGAGGCAAACCTGGAGGCTGAGGAACTAGATATGTATAAAGCCAATACACTGAAATTGATTGATAAACCAATTAATGTATACAGGTAAGTTGTTTATTTTAAATGTACGCAAATACTAGACACAGTCTTTGGGTCTTTTACAGGAAGGTTCCCTGCAAAACAGTCCACTGATTGGTGTCACTTGTTGGTTCCCTGCATATCATTACACTTGACAGTGTCACATGATGGTTACTCGTAAAATAGTTCTCTCTGAAGCATGTTGGTTCCCAGTCTAATGGGAGTTAAGCGAGACTTTGGGTATACTATGTATGTTAGAGCTATTGCCCAGCTGTACTTAGTTGTAGAGTGTTGGTTTGAGGGGGGGACATAGCTGTACTTGAATGTAGAGAGTTGGTTTGGAGGGACACATCTGTACTTGAACGTTGAAAGTTGGTTTGTAGGAGAGCATCTGAACTTGGTTGTAGTATTACTTTGGAGGGACAATGCTGTACAGCTGTTCAAGCCAATGTACAATAATTAATATTAATATTTTACAAAAATTGAATATTTCATTGATATTCAATTTCTGAATATTTGTGATGCAAATACTCAAGATGAACTATTCTCTGTAAAGTAAAAACAGTTTGTTGAAATGTTATTTTTTTCTTTACAGTTGGGAAATAAACTCTTTTCACCTTTACAAATGTTTATTTTTATCACATATACTAGTATTTGAGATGAAAGTAGGATAAGTGAGTTTACCATTGTTTTTTTATACATGTTTCACATAATCAGTCTGGTACAATTTAGCTCAGATATGAAATACGAAAACATTTCAATCAGAAACCAGTGCCCAAGTATTTTAACAAAATATTTTCACTTCTATATATTGATATTGTTGAGAAAATTCTATAAAAGCTGGTCCTTTTTGCTCTTTTTAAGTAGAAACTTCTTTAAACCACAAATCCAATTTCATTAACTTATGACAGGCCCCATAAGACTGGATCCACTTCTAAACCAGACAAAAGTTAAAGTTTCATGTTTGGTCACTTAAAAGTGGTTATAAGTTCATACAAATCTTATTGACTTTATAAGATGTATAGCAAGCTAACAGTTTGGTTTGTCACGACAATAATTTTAGTTACAAGTCGCACATTTTCTTGACATTAAGATGTGATAATTGTTCGGGAATGGTGTGAATGGTGCAGAAAGCTATTAGGTAAAGTTTTTGTATTTGATTTCTTGTCATGGCTTAAGTTGCATTATAGAACGGCCATCGATTTTTTTACACTTTACACAAGTCATGAGTGTTTAGAATCATTATCTTAGTTTATTCCTAACTTCTCTGAATTTATATTAAAGACATGTCCTTCTTTGCATTTTGGAACTGTCCCTTTGTAGTTTTAGGGATTTCAATATCAAAATAATAAAATCAGTCTGTCAAGAGTAGAGTCAAGATTAGATGTTGGCCAGGCTCTATACTTGTTACTCTATTACTGTTACCACTAACATTCAAAAGTTAATTTCACGTGAAAGATGGAGTGTTAGTAATGGAGTCTGATTCTTTGGGGGAATAATCAAAGAATTTTACAGCAAATAAAAGATTCTTTTAATAAGATAATTCCATCGGACACGCATATTGCATCATGATTTCATTTGACAATAAGGTTACAACTAGCATTTTATTTGACATAATGATGGCTTCCTATTTCTATATGGCACCTTGAATGCAATATAATTTCATTTGACACCTAAATGGACACCAATGTGCATATTATGCTTTTAAAGGCCATTAGCAGTCTGCTAGTTGTTAATCTGGCTATATGTCAAAAGTCAGACAATTGTGCAGGGATTGAATGACCAGTATTTGAAAATATGTCATTAGTTATGTAATATAACAATGTGTGGATACTAGATTTTTTATCCTCAATGATAGTAGTTTCATCATGGCTGAAGCATCGTTTCTGTAAATTAAAATATCATTTTTGGTTTTCATTTGCAACTGTTATGTCACAAGCAGGCCATTCAAGTTCATGGTCATTATATTGGAATCAGAGTTTAATTCAGATTTTCAAAATTTAGTTTAATAATATCTTTTGGGAATTTTGAGTCATTCACAAATTTTTTATACTAACTTCTATGCATTCTGACTTGACACTGTGGTGGTGGTGTTCCTGGGCAGGTGCTAGTTGCCATCACTTTCATAAGGAACTTCTGTACATGCCATAGAAGAAGTACAGTGCGAATGACCATAGAAAGGATTTCATGATCAATCACAACGAAAGTAACCTGCCCGTCTGGGAATCATACCCAGGTCACCTGATTCACAGTCCAGCACTCTACCAATTGAGGTAATTGGACAGCTCTGACCCGTACTGTTGGCTACTTAGATATCGTATATCAGTGTTGAAATCGCTTTCATTATCAATTGTGTTTAAAGTTTGATTCTGTTAACAAATTCAGCAGTGAACAAATATGACAGAATTTATTATGTACTTTTACAATTCTCACAGATCATGTGTATACCATTGTAAATTTGATCAATAGATTTGTTTTAGAGTCAAGTCAATAATTATTTGTGAAAATGATTTATTCATTAATGTCTGGGAAATGTTACACACAGATGAAATATTAAGTTGTGTATTTACGTTATATTTCAAGATGGAATGACTGATAAGTCATTTTGTGTATACATGACTGTATATGTTTATTTCTGTTTTCCATCTGTAATAAAGATATGTTTGTAATACATAGGTGTGGCTCCTCTGGTAAGGGGGGTTGGTAAATTTGTTATGTTAGGTAACAGACAATTTACAGTCAAGTTCATTTAACACTTGTTTAATGGCACCACTGACAAGTTCCATAGCTTATCAGAGGAGTATTTTAGAAATACAAATACAACTAGACAGTCGTTTTGCATGGAAATCTGTTTAAGTCATTACCCACCATGCATCATTAAATAACTTCAGAGCCATCGCTGATCATCGTAAATTATTAACAATAAATAAAGACAAGATTATTTTCATTACCCAGTCTTGCAGAGGGGAAAGACAGACTTTTTGTCTTCAGATAAAAGCTTTATTTTATTGTAGAAGGATGAATGCTTGTTTGTAGAGACATGTAAGACTGTTTTAAGTCAATGTAGTTTGATTATGACAAAGGCACTGGCGGTCTTTGTCGGAGATGTTGTTGTTTTTTTTATCCATTTAATGAAGTAAAATGATACAATAAAAGTTGTATTTGATTATTGTTATTTGATTACACTGGAGTCTGTGATATTGTTCAGCTATAGCTAATTTCAATAAAGATTTTGTTTATAAAAAATATACCATGGTATTTCTATTTCTGGGAGATAAATTTTATTAAGATTTATTGTTTGAAACATATAAAGAAATAAATGAAAATTTATTGGAATGGTTGTCTGCACTGTGTCTTCTCCAATTACAATTTATAACAATTTATCTTATAGCTATATTTTTGGTGTTTTAAGCCTTTATTGCTAGTGGTTGTAGTAACAGGCCTTTGCCAGCAGTAAAGAGCCGAACCGAATCTGCCAACCAAGTTGTTAATCAGACTCTATACTGTTTGCTAATTAGATTTAAGTATTATTATATTGACTGTCTGCCAATTTGATAGATCTCCTATTCTGACCTTTTATTTGAATAACAATAGATTTAACCACAAACATTGGCATGTGTTCTTTTTGTAAGAAAATATTTTGTGGTGTAATTCTTATTGTAACCCACTATTCTGATAATTCAAATTGAACAGTTTAGGGTCATATAGGGATCTATGCGTAGGAATAGCATTTGTAATCCAGGGGTCGGTGGTTTGATCCAGTTGGATGAGGCAATTCTCTGTAAGAATTGTCACGGACATTGAATATAATGTTTATTTGTCTCTCACTGCTAATTCAGAAATTATGTGGAATTAATAGTCTGTTACTTACAGAGAAATTAGTTATCATTAGGTTGATCAATCACAGAATTATGACCAAAATTGTGTTTAAATAGGCGTAAAACCAACAAACTGAAACTAGCAATGCTTAGAGATAGAGTAAGTGCATTACACCGTTAAACAATAAATTATAGTAGCATGCAACATAATGAATATTTTATAGCAAATTCCATTAAAAAAATAAGAATGCACCCAAATGGAAATAATGAATTATGGAAATATAAATAACTTCCGAGGTTTTGGTTTTAATAGGTGAAAAAGTGAGACGTTTTACATGAATTAAACATTTTGCATGAATTATACGCATGTTTTGAAATAATAGAAAATCTAAGAACTATCCCTGTTTAACACATTGATTCTAGTGGTGCTACTTGGTAAGATTGTTGTCATCAGAAGAAATACTGCTTTCAACACTGTGATTATTTTGTAGGAGAAAAAAAAAAGATTTTATTTACAAGTGTGCTATTTTGAGTGTTGAGCATGGCACATACTTTATATAATAATGAATTACATAAGTCCTTCACGCCTACAGATATTTTTTTTATAATCTAATTACAGAAAATATTGTCAATAATTTATTTTTTTTTGCATGTTTTATGATAAATATCACTGGGATCACCATATTTCTACTCTATTATTAATGTAATAGGAGCTGTTTTTGAGTACATGTATTTTGATACATTTCAAAGTGTAGAGAGACAGTTGCTTCAATTGTTCATTCAAAAATAGTTTTGACTATTTTGAGCAATGTCTATATTTCCATTAAATCAAGCATGAATTTTGAGGCGTTCTCATCCCAGTTAAATGAACAGGATCTTGTTCAGAAGCCAGAAAGTTACAATCCATGAGTTACTACCCATTGATGTAGTGACTTCAACTGGCACTGCCTCAAACAAAATCAATCAATCATGCGAATATATCATTCACCTCCATTCAAAAAAAACATTCTGAGCTTGTCACCATTACTCAGCCAAGTCATTTCAAGTACTGATAATGATAAATACATTTAGCGCTGCTTTTTTTTCTTCAGGAAAAAACAAACCCATTCATTATTCAGATTTATGTTAACTTTTAGAAAGCTAGTATTGAGATTCAGGTCTGTCTAAACCACCAGTATAGATAGAACCAGGCCAGCCTGCACATTTCAG